ACTCCACTGGTCATCGGGACCTGTCCTTATTCCCCAATCAGAGCTTGCCTCTGTAGGGGCCCTAGCGGATGCATATGGTTCCCCAATCAGAGCTTGCCTCTGTAGGGGTCCTAGCGGTCACATATGGTTAGGTGAGGTGTGGCGCCGATTTCCGCAGCCCGCCCGGGTGCCTGGGTACCTTATTGCCCTATAGCCCTATAGCCCTATAGCCATATAGCCCTATAGCCCTATAGCCCTATAGCCCTATAGCCATATAGCCATGTGGCCCTATAGCCGTATAGCCGTATAGCCGTATAGCCCAATAGCCATATAGCCTTATAGCCTGTATAGCCCTATAGCCCTATAGCCCTATAGCCCTATAGCCCTATAGCCCCATAGCCGTATAGCCGTATAGCCCCATGGCCCTATAGCCCAATTGCCCTATAGCCCTATGGCCCTCTAGCCCCATAGCCCCATAGCCCTATAGCCCTATAGCCCTATAGACCTATAGCCCAATAGCCCAGTAGCCCTATAGCCCAATAGCCTTATAGCCTTGTAGCCCTGCAGCCCTGTAGCCCTAAAGCCCTATGGCTCTATAGTCCTATAGCCCTGTAGCCCTGTCGCCCACTAGCTCTACATGCCTATAGCACTATACCCCCATAGCCCTATATCCCTATAGCCCCACCGCCCTATGGTCCTATAGCCCCATAGAGACATAACCCTATGGCCCTATAGCCCCATAGCCCCAGAGCCCCATAGCCCCATAGCCCTATAGCCCTACAGCCCTACAGCCCTACAGCCCTATAGCCCTATAGCCCTACAGCCCTATAGACCTATGGCCCTATGGCCCTATAGCCCTATAGTTCCATAGCCCTTATAGTCCCATAGCGCTATAGCCCTAAAAATACTTTGATTGGGGTCGTTTCTCCGGTACCATCTGTCTATGGCGTCATCAACATCATCAGCAGCAGCAGCATCATCAGCAGCATCACCAACCTCATCATCAACATCGTCATCATCAGCATCATCATAATCAGCATCGCCGATGTCATTGTGATCATCGTCATCATCAACATCGGCATCTTCTTCATCATCATCAGCAGCATCATACACGTCTTGACCATCATCACCATCATCAGCAGCAGCATTACCATCGTCATCAGCATCATCATCATCACCATCATCATTATCATCATCATCATCATCATCATCATCATCATCATCATCATCATCATCATCATCATCATTGTCATTGTCATTGTCATTGTCGTCGTCGTCATCACCATCAGCAGCACAATCATCAGCATCAGCATCCGAAACGTCGCCATCTTCATCATGATCCAAATCCTGATCCACATCCTCATGCTCCTCAGAATTATCATCATCCTCATCATCATCCTGATCCCCATCAGCATCAGCATCACTGTCATCATCATCATCATCATCATCATCATCATCATCAACATCATCATCATCATCATCATCATCATCATCATCGTCATCGTCATCGTCACCGTCATCATCGGCATCATCATCAGCAGCAGCAGCATCATCGTCGACATCAGCACCAGCACCATCGTCATCATGATCATCCTCATCATCAGCATCATCCGATCATCATCACCAAGGTCATTATCATCAGCATGATCATCATCATGAGAGTCCTCATCATCATCGTCATCTGAATCATCATCATCATCGTCATCTGAATCATCATAAGTATCATCAGCATCAGCCGCATCCGCATCATCATTGTCATCATCATCAGCATCATCATCAGAATCAGCATCATCATCAGCATCATCATCATAATGATCATCATCTTATCATCAGCGGTATCGTCATCATCATAAGCTGCATCATCACAATTAGCATCATCATCATGATCATCATCATCATCATCATCATCATCATCATCATTATCAGCATCGTCATCGTCATCGTCATCGTCACAGTCATCATCGGCATCATCATCAGCAGCAGCAGCATCATCGTCGACATCAGCACCAGCACCATCGTCATCATGATCATCCTCATCATCAGCATCATCCGATCATCATCACCAAGGTCATTATCATCAGCATGATCATCATCATGATCATCCTCATCATCATCGTCATCTGAATCATCATCATCGTCATCTGAATCATCAGAAGTATCATCAGCATCAGCCGCATCCGCATCATCATCATTGTCATCATCATCAGCATCATCATCAGAATCAGCATCATCATCAGCATCATCATAATGATCATCATCTTATCATCAGCGGTATCGTCATCATCATAAGCTGCATCATCACAATTAGCATCAGCATCAGCATCATCATCATCATCATCATCATCGTCATCATCATCATCATCAGCAGCACCATCATCGTGGTCGTCACTGTCATCGTCATCGTAACGGTCATCGTCATTGTCATTGTCATCGTCGTCATCGTCCTCATCTGCTACAGCAGTTTCAGCGCAAACACCACCGTCATAACCATCATCATGACCATCAGCATCAGCATCACCTCTATCACCATGAACATCACCACCCTCTTCATCATCATCATCGTCACCATCACCATCACCATCATCATCATCACCACCATCACCAGTTTCACATCGTCGTCATCATCGTCATCATCACCACCATCAACATCATCGTCATCATCGTCATCACAATCATCATCATCACCATCATCACCAGTTTCATCATCATCGTCATCATCCTCAGCATTATCATCATCATCAGCAGCAGCATCATCCTCATTATCATCGTCATCTCCCTCATCCTCCCCAGCTCCCGCCTCCTCGTGATAATCATCATCCTAGTCCTCCCCATCATCCCCCCCGTTCTCCCTCTCCTCTAACAAGTGCCCCCTCATCCTCCACCTGCAGATACTCCTGCCGCTCCTCATACAACGAGCAAAAGGTTACTGACATACACGATTCTGCCTGTGTCCAAAATTGCCATGCCGCAATACACGATCAGTCGAGCAACGGTGCTACTTTTCTTCTGCGTGAAGACGACCTCCCATTTTCTGGGGAAGATGTAAGTGGTCTACACAGGAGCTGCTTGTGAACTGCCTGCGAACTGGCCGTGATTGCACAGCTCATGCATACACAAAAGGATCCGTATGGCCCCCGTTCTGGAGGGGGCTCAGGATGCGACAACCCCGAGAGAATTCCCAGTCGAACTCCCCAATCTTCTTAAATCCAGCGTCTCGCTTCGCGCTTCTCGCCATACTCCAAATGCTCCCTGGTTCGATGGCCACGAACGCTCTCCCCCTTCAGTTACCCCCCGTGCACTTTCCTCCGACAGTGAATAGCGCATCGCTTCCCGTCATTCGGCGGCGAGCCCAGGGGGGAAGTCAGAAGGGGCGGGCCTTCTGAGATGGCTCGGAAGTCCTCTGGCCTTCTAAAGAAAAGGGCCTTCTCCGAAGACAAAGACGGTTTCTGACAAGGCCCGAGGGCTTCTGAGAAGCCCCGCCGCCTTCTCAGAAGGCATGCCCCCTCTCACTTCCCCCCAGGAGCGCCGCCGAGTCATACTCCAAAGGTTTCCCTGCTCCGCGATCGCGAGACTTCTCTCTCTCTCTCCAACTCTTATACTCAAACGAGAATCCGCCGACCTTTCGACGTTTGTGAGGGGGAGTTCCTGGTCCGTGGTCCCCCGGCGGTTTTCGGAGACGATAGTCATGTCGTTTCCTCGTGCATTCCCGGGGTCTCTTCCTAGACCCTCTGTGCCGCGCCAAGCTCGTCATCTCGAAGTGAATGGAGCCAGATCGCAATCGCAGTCGTAGTTAGATCGGAAGGATGCCCATTCCATTTGATCCCTTCCCACCGGGGGGGGCCAAGGTCCCGGGGGGGTCCCGGGAGGGGGCCTGGGGGAGCCCCAGGTCAGATTACACCCCCCTCCTCTTCTGGTCAGAATCGCAATAATAACAAGATCGAAGGGAAGCCCATCGCCCCTGATGCCTACCCCACCGGGGATGCCCGGGTCCTGGGGAATCCCGACGAAATCCTGATGGGCGTCCAGGGTCAGATTACACCCCCCTCCTCTTCTCGTCGTAATCGCAATAGTTATTGGATCGAAGGGAAGCCCCTTCCTTTGGATCCCTTCCCCACACAGGGGGGGTGGGGGGGGGCCTAGGTCCACGGGGGGTCCCAGGGGGGGTCCTGCCGAGGTCCCGGGGGGGCCCAGGGTCAGATTACACCCTTCTCCTCGTCTAGTCGCAATCGCAGTCGTAGTTAGATCGCATGTAAGCTCATTTTTTTTCTCTCCCCACCACATGACCTTCCGCAGCCTTCGGATCACGGAGCGAGCACCTGGATCATATGCTTCCAGCGCGCGGGGGGAACCGCTGCCTCGGAACACCTGCGCTACGTCAGCACCGCTCGCAGGTAAGAGGAACACGCAGGAGCAAAGCGCGCCACGCGGGGAACGCAGCGGAGGAGGAAGGAAGGGGAAGACAGCACAAACGGATTCAACACACAACGCCACACCGCGGCGGCTGTTGTGGATTACCCTACAGCATCAACGCCGGTCGGAAAAGTCGCATGCTTGAAATGAACCAATGTTGCCGCCCGGACAGCTTCGAGCTCTGTTTGAAACCCAGCTCAAGATAAAAAAGAAGCGTCTCGATAAGAACCGCCTCATCTGGTGAAACCGGGCAGAAAAAAAAAGGGGGCGAGGAGAGGGCGGAGGAGGAAAAGGGCAAGACACGCAAGCCGCAAAAGCGGGAGATGCAGGTATGGGTGCAAGCACTCGCCAAAAGTTTGTAAATGAAATAACTACGGTGATGAGGCACAGCCGTGCCCCGCAGCATCGGAGGGCCGACATCAGGCGACGAGAAGACGAGCCGAGGGCGACGCGAAGCGGCCCGTGGGGTCGGCCAAACGCGGCCGTGAGCTAGGCCCACACACGCTGCCCATGCACCAAATTACACTGAGAGGCGGAGAAGGAGGGAAGGGAGGAGCAATCAAGGCAAACCTGAACATTGCATCACACCGTCTGCACAAACCCGTCGCTCTTCAGGATCGCCGTGTGCTGGTGGTATCGGTCGAACTGTTATCCGTCGTGCTGGGCGTATTAGTGCTGCTGGTATCCGTCGTACTCGTCAGACTCGTGGTGCTGCTCTCGCTTGTATTACTCTCCGATGTGCTGGGCGCAGGGTTGCTGCTGGTGGCGTTCGTGCTCGTGATTCTCGTGGTCCTGCTCTCGATCATACTGTCCGCCGACGTGATGGGCGTAAGAGTGCCGCTGGTACTGATCGTACCCGTCTTACTCGTGGTGCTGCTTTCAGTCGTAGTACTGTCCAACGTGCTTGGCGTAATGATGCTGCTGGTGCCTGTCGCACTAGCCATACTCGTGGTGCTGCTATCGGTCGTACTGCTTGCCGACGTGCTTGGCGTAGTGGTGCCGCTGGTGCAGGTCTTACTCGTCACACTTGTGGTGCTGCTCTCGGTCGTACTGCTCGCCAAAGCGCTGGGCGTAGTGGTGCCGCTGGTACTGGCCTTACTCGTCATACCCGTGGTGCTGCTCTCAGTCGTACTGCTCGCCGACGTACTGGGCGTAGTGGTGACGCTGGTACTGGTCGTACTCGTCATACTCGTGGTGCTGCTCTCGGTTGTACTGCTCGCCGCCGTGCTGGGCGTAGTGGGGCCACTGGTACTGGTCGCACTCGTCATCCTCGCGTTGCTGCTCTCGCTCGTACTGCTCGCCGACGTGCTGGGCGTAGTGGTGCCGCTGGTACTGGTCTTACTCGTCATACACGCGGTGCTGCTCTCAGTCGTACTGCTCGCCGACGTGCTGGGCGTAGTGGTGACGCAGGTACTGGTCGTACTCGTCATACTCGTGGTGCTGCTCTCGGTTGTACTGCTCGCCGCCGTGCTGGGCGTAGTGGTGCCACGCGAGTATGACGAGTGCGCAACGCGAGTATGACGAGTGCGATCGCATGGAAGCTCATTGCCTTCGATCCCTTCCCCACCCGAAGAAGGGACTGGGGTCCCGGGGGTGTCCCGAGGGGCCCCCCGGGGGTGAGTCCCAGGGGGCCCCTCGTCAGATTACACCCCCCTCCTCTTCTGGTCGCCATCGTCGCAGTCGCAGTGAGATCGACGGGAAAACCTTCCCTTTGATCCCTTCCCCACCCGGGGGGGGGACCAGCGTCCCAGGGGGGGCCCAGCGGGTCCTGGAGGAGTCCCAGGGAGAGCCCCAGGTCAGATTACACACCCCTCCTCGTCTGGTCGTCATCGCGCTGTTGAAAAGAAGGGAAGCTCCTTCCCTTTGATCCCTTCCCGGGGGGCACCAGGGTCTTTTTCCTGCTGGAGGGCGCCGTAGGCAAATCGGAAGCAAGCTCCTTCCCTCCTTGAATCCCTTTTCCTACCTGGGAAAGGGGGGCTCTCCCAGAGGAATCCCGAAGACGTTCCCAGGTCCCAGGCGGGCGGGTCCTGGGGCGCGCTCCACTCCACCTCCGAACACCTCCTGCATCGTGAGGAAAATGTTCCACAGTCGACGGCATTGGCCGTGAGGCTTCTCCAACCGCTTCGCGCTTGCCGTCAAACGCCGAGACCCCCACTGTTCGGGGTCGCCCCCCCTTCGCCAGCATCGCCCCCCCTCCTTTCTGGAATACGAACGTGAATTGCTTCGCGCTTGCCGTCGAGCGATGGGCCAACGCTCCCAAGTCCTCAATCCCCCATATGATGTCACCGCGAGGACCCCACACGATTGATTCGCAGAACCAGTTGGTCTTATGATGTTCAGAATCACTGCTCGATGAGCAGGAGCGGGAGTAAAGGATCACGCATGGGGGAGTCCAAGCATATGAGCGCGAGGCCACGAAAAGAAATCCACGCACCAACACGTAGGACTCCACGAAACAGCGCGCAGTCACTATAGGGAGCCACATACGATCAAACACGCCCGCGCGCAGGAGCAGGAGTACGAGTAGGAGTTCACGCGACAACGCATAGGACTCCTCGCTACGATGCGCAAGCGTAGGAAGCCATAGGAAACAGTACGAGTAGAAATAAGAGTGAAGGGCCGCGCAGATAATGTCCGCGTAACAAAACATAGGATTATACCGTGTACACTTAAGGCCATGGGAGTCCGCGCATAGGATTCCACGCAACATAATGGAAACATGTGAAGCCATGGGAGTCTGCGCATAGGAGTCCGCCATGGAAGTCCGCGCATAAGAGTCCACGCGCACGGGTCCACACAACAACGTGTGGTAGACTACACAACTGCTTACTGGATTCCACGGAACAGTGTGCGCGTCATAGGGGCCCACGCATGGGAGTCCACGCGAACGGTAAGCATGGGAGGCAATCCTCGATCCCTCGTGCAATAAGATCTTGTAAAACAAAATGACATGTGACAAAACACAAAGAAACAGAAGCGACGCTGCTGTCCACCGCCACTTGCAAACAAAATGTGCCCGCGCTACCGAAAGAAAAGAATGAAAGAAGGATACGCGCCCCCGAGGCCACGATCCCCAATACAAGAAACATGGATCTGCGCGCCGGAGGCCAG